TATGACGTTAGTTGTATCTTTTATATGTAGTTGCAAATGACAAAAAATTATGACCATTACAACTTGCACTGGCTATGTGCATAGACTATTGTTGCTTCAAGTTATAATAGTACTTTTGTCTGAATTGAATTGATTTGTTACAAAAACTTCAAGTTCAAGGAAAATTAGTATAGTTCTTAAAACCTCAAGGAAGGCTTGAAAGTGTCAGAAACCTCACCTCAGCCCCCGGCGTCCGGGGCTGGGGGGTGGTGGTTTCTGAAATTATCCTTAAAAACAACGGCCGAAGTCTTCCAATCCAGGCAGCACGGATCGGATGCGTCGCGAAAGAGTTCTGAGCGTACGTGTTTTGTAAAAAGTCGTTACAGCCCAGAATATTGGGCCCATTGAAGCCGGATACAACCGAGTGAATCCAGGTCAAGCGATTTCACGTATAGGGCATCAGGAGACAGATGTGTACTGTAGCCCACTCAATGTCCTTGTTGTATTTGAGTGCTAATTACGGCTTTAAGGTAATTTAATATACTCCTGAATTGGCCGATGCAACGAGACCAAAACTCAAAAACTGGAAGCCTTACATCAAATCTACTACTAGTACTACTAAAATTTTTCTCTTATTTTTTCCCATACTGTTAACAAAATAACTTATTGAAATCTAGCATTTAGAAAAAAAAAAAAAAAAAAACAAAGCAATGGATGAGGCTAAATCAACATTTTTCCTTCCTAAATCCTAACATTGCACAAATTTAAATAGTAACGGTACAAATTAGCAATGCGCCATCAATTCATCAAAGCCGTGGAGTTGACACAACACGTAGGGTAGGGTGTGTAATTATCATCTTGCAAAAGCCAATCTTTCCACCCACTCATCCTACTAATTAGTAACTGCACAGGACCAACCAATCTAATAATCCCCGGTTTAACTGCAAGCTGTGAATTCCTTACGTGGCCACATAAAATAGATTTCTTTCTTGAGAGCTCACCTTAATAGTTGGAGTTGGATGTTGTAATGACCCTAGATAATATAAATACTTTTAGCAGAAATGTATCTGCTATGCTTTCCTTATTAAGAAGTTAGTTAGCGATCCAGAAGTTAGTTACTCTGTTAGACATCCAAAAATAGCATGCTTGCATGCATGCTCATTCAGTTGGGAGGTTAGAACGCAGAAGGATCTAGAGGAAGAATCTTGTATAAATAAGCCTAAAAGAGGACGGATGGGGCACGCTATCAAACAGAACAAGTTCAGTTTTCTCAATCCCTTTCAATATACCTTCCCTCTCTGTTTCTTCCCTTCCCAATTCTCTCGGTCACTTTTCCCTACCTCCAGTTAACTCTGATCAAAATCAGTGATATCATTACAAGTGGTATCAGAGCTTCCGGTCCTTGGACTAGGAAGCTTAGATCGACATATCACAATGGTGGATGGAACAAGGATGAAGACGATGGAGGAACAGCTCCGCAGGCAAGAAAGCAAGATTCACGGAATTCTGGAATCTTTGGCGGCAGACAAGCAAAGCATGGAGGAGAGGTTGGATGCAGTGAGTGCTGAGCTGGGCAATAAGCTAGATGCGTTCATGTTAGCCATCTCGCAGCAGCTCTCCAGCTTAAACCGTGGAAATCAAGAGAAAGGCATATTAGGATCTCCAGAAGGAAGTCACTCCAGAAGCTCCGACCTGGGGAGTAGAGATCAAGGAGAAAGGAACACTAGGAGTGCCTTCTTCGCTAGTACGCCTAAATTGGAAATTCCAGCATTTAGGGGAAACAATCCTAGGGAATGGATCAGGAAACTGCAGAAATATTGCCAGCTTCTGCACATTCCCAAGGAGCAATGGATGGAGTTGGCAGAGTTCCACTTGGAGGAGAAGGCGGCAGTGTGGTATCAAGGATTCAGATCTACTAGGAGTAACAAGGTGGAATGGATGGAGTTTTCTGAAGAGCTGTGTAAGAGGTTTGGAACCTTAGGACAGATGGATCCAGTAGAGGAATTCAACAAGTTGCAACTCTCTTCCACAGTCCTAGCATATCAAGAAAAATTTGAGGAGCTGTTATCAGAGGTAATGATTCGAGCCCCATACCTTCCAGAAAACTACTACATTTCCTGTTTTTTGAGTGGATTGCCAGATGAATTGAGATCGATGGTGAAAGCTCACGACCCTAGGACGCTGTCCAAAGCCTTTGAGTTGGCCAGACTACAGGAGAATGCCTTTGAAGCCTACCACAGGAAGCACAAACCTCATCAAAGGGCCATGGGTTGGGGAAATTCCACGCAGGCTGCTGCTCAGCAAACTATGTTACCTACCAAACCTGTCATTGCCAATGCTGTCAAAAAAACACCCCAACACTTCAAGAAAATCACACCAGAAGAGCTGCAGTACCGAAGGGAACATCACCTTTGCTACAAGTGTGGAGAAAAGTTTGGTCCAGGTCACCAGTGCAAGCAGAAGGAGATTCATTTGATGGTCGCAGTAGAAGATAGGCCTGAGGATCTGGAGGAAGAGGAGGTAATTGAGTACCAAGGGGCTCAGTCGGCCAGAGGAGTGGAAATGGCAATACATGCACTGACAGGGAAAATGACTTACAATACCATCAAATTGCAGGGGCTGTTCAAAGGAACCCCCCTGTCAATCTTGGTGGATGGGGGAAGTACTCACAGCTTTGTCAAAAATACTGTGGCTCAACTCTTTCCAGAGATGGTCCAGACAATCAAGCCCTTCAAGGTCAAGGTGGCTAATGGGGAGTATTTGACCTGTAGTAGGATGATTCCAAACATGAACTGGGAAATGCAAGGTAAACCATTCACTCATGACATGTTTATCATTAACATAGAACCTTATGATATGATCATAGGAGTGGATTGGATGGCTGCACACAGTCCCATCACCTTTGACTTCAGGCAGTTGAACATGACATTTGATAAGGAAGGGGAAAGGATCTGGCTACAAGGAGAGTCGAAGGAGGCGGTACTTAAGCTTCCTAAAGATAATACTGAGAAGGAAGGACTAAGCACCAAAATCTGGAAGCATGCCTGCGGGCTGAAGATGAGTGGAACTCAGGTACACTCTGTAACTCAGTTGGATATTGCTTTTCAACAGCCCCTAGATGCTCTAATTGCGGACTACAAAGATGTATTTGGGGAGCCAAAATCCCTTCCTCCTTCCAGAGATTGTGACCACCAAATTCCTTTAATACCCAATGCCAAACCATTCAAATTAGCACCTTATAGGTATCCTCACAACCAGAAAAATGAAATAGAGAAACAGGTAAAAGACATGCTTAGTAGTGGCATTATTCAGCTCAGCCATAGTCCATTTGCATCTCCAGTTCTGTTAGTTAAGAAAAAAGATGGAACTTGGTGATTCTGTGTTGATTACAGACAACTAAATGACCTGACTATCAAAGATAAATTTCCAATACCAATCATTGATGATTTGCTTGATGAGCTATATGGTGCTAAGATCTTCACTAAGATCGACCTAAGAGCCGGTTACCATCAAATCAGAATGTACCTAGATGATATTCCAAAAACAGCCTTCAAAACTCACCTTGGACTTTATGAATTCACAGTCATGCCATTTGGCCTTACTAACGCACCAGCAACTTTTCAGAGCCTGATGAACCATGTATTCGAACCTTACTTGAGAAAATTTGTGCTAGTATTTTTTGATGACATCCTTGTGTATAGTCCTGACCCAAACACTCACCTTTCACACCTCAAAACTGTCCTAGAAACACTCAGATCTTGCTCCTTATTTGCCAAGCTTTCTAAATGCATCTTTGGACAGTCCCAAGTGGAGTATTTGGGACACATTATCAGTAGTAATGGAGTACAGGCTGACCCCTCGAAAGTCAAAAGCATGATGGACTGGCCTGCACCTACATCAGTAAAGGCTTTGAGAGGATTTTTGGGACTTACAGGCTATTACAGGAGGTTCGTGAGAGGTTATGGGCTCATTGCCAAGCCACTTACAGAATTGCTGAAGAAAGAAAACTTCCACTGGAGTGAACATACTGAACTAGCTTTCCAAAAACTCAAACAACTGATGAGCAACACACCTGTCCTCGCACTCCCTAATTTTTCCTTACCATTTGTTCTGGAAACAGATGCTAGTCATAAGGCTATAGGAGCTGTACTCATGCAGCAGGGAAGGCCTATTGCTTATCTCAGTCAAGCCTTGGGGCCTAAAAACTTGGGGTTGTCAATATATGAGAAGGAGTTGTTATCCCTTATCACAGCTGTATCCAGGTGGAGGCATTATTTGTTGGGGAATCATTTCATTATCAAGACAGATCACCAGAGCTTGAAGTACCTACTAGAGCAGAAGATAACCACTCCCTTACAGCAAAAATGGCTTACTAAGTTGCTGAGACTGGATTATGAAATACAGTACAAGAGAGGTAAGGAAAATCTTGTGGCTGATGCACTGTCTAGAAGAAGCTATGAAGAAGACAGCTCTACACACAGCCTCTCGGTCATGAAACCTGCATGGCTATCTGAAGTCCTGGAGAGTTACCAGGGGGATAGTGCCGTAACTAAGCTAACCGAAGCCTTGACCATTACACCTGACTCTCTTCCCAATTACTCTTTTAGTGGGGGATTACTCAGGTATAAAGGCAGGGTTTACATTGGAGCATCAGGGAGCTTGAGACAGAAGCTGATAATTTGCCTTCATGACTCGCCCCTAGGAGGGCACTCAGGCAACCTGGGAACCTATCAGAGGTTGAAAGGGCCATTTTTCTGGCCAGGAATGAAGAAGGAGGTAGAAAGTTGGGTGCAGCAATGTGATGTGTGTAAAAGAAGCAAGGTAGAACATTGCAAAACACCAGGCCTACTGCAACCACTTCCTGTACCCGAGCAAGCATGGCAGCATGTTTCAATGGACTTCGTGGAAGGATTGCCCAGTCTCAGGGATATGAAGGAATGTTGGTAGTCATTGACAGGTTCACCAAATACTGCCACCTCTTGCCATTACCTCCTAAGTATACAGCACAGTCAGTAGCTAACATGTACTTTGATAATGTCTACAAATTGCATGGGTTACCCCTGAGCATTGTGTCAGACAGGGATAGGCTGTTTACTAGCATGTTCTGGAAGGAATTATTTGGGAAGCTAGGTACTGAGCTGCACTACTCCACTGCCTACCACCCTCAGACAGATGGGCAGACAGAGAGGCTGAATAGGTGCGTTGAGACATACTTGAGGTGTTTATGTTTCCAACAACCTCACAAATGTACTGGCCACTCGTGAAATCATAAGAAAAAAACAGAAGATGACTCAAGTGCTGATCAAGTGGATGAACCTAGGCACTGAAGACTCAACTTGGGAGGATGTCACGGTGATACAATCACAGTTTCCAAATTTCCAGCTCAATCCTAGTGACTAGGATTCTTAAGGGGAAGGTATTGTAATGACCCTAGATAATATAAATACTTTTAGCAGAAATGTATCTGCTATGCTTTCCTTATTAAGAAGTTAGTTAGCGATCCAGAAGTTAGTTACTCTGTTAGACATCCAAAAATAGCATGCTTGCATGCATGCTCATTCAGTTGGGAGGTTAGAACGCAGAAGGATCTAGAGGAAGAATCTTGTATAAATAAGCCTAAAAGAGGACGGATGGGGCACGCTATCAAACAGAACAAGTTCAGTTTTCTCAATCCCTTTCAATATACCTTCCCTCTCTGTTTCTTCCCTTCCCAATTCTCTCGGTCACTTTTCCCTACCTCCAGTTAACTCTGATCAAAATCAGTGATATCATTACAGATGTTTTTCTCATTTCCATTTTAATAAAGAAGTGGAATCACGAACCAATTTAAATCAGTTTTTTTTTTTTTTTAGCTTAACGGCACATCTAGCCTAATCTAGCCTACTCCTACTCCTAAGGGGAAGGAAAACTTACTCTATGGAGTGGCCCAACTGAGCCGGGGGAACCTGATAGGGACTGAACCACCATCAGACCAGACGGGTGCACCACACACCCGTACGTATGAATTTAGAACAAACCTTATATTGAGGGACATTGATGGGAGGCAATGTTTGAATCAGTTGAGTTGACGCAATTCTTACAGCTTTTTGATGGAATTGAAGTGGGCACCCCACGTGCATGAAAGAAGTGTAAGCAATGGAAAATGGGACGGCTAGAGAGCATCCAAGTAACTTGAGCCACTCCCTTTAGTTTCCTCTCCCAAGTCCCATCCACTCTTATTGCAGCTTTGCTTTGTTTGTTTGCTCTATTTTCTTTTTTTTCCCCGTTCCATCCAAACTCCGAAGTGCGCCGTCTGAGATCTTTAACACTACCTAAATTGTGGCACCACTGACTGCAGCTCATCATCTAATCTAATATACTATTTCACTTCTCCATTTTCAGCGGCCACTCGATCCTTCCTTCACCGGGGCTGCCTGGTAAAGTAAACAAGAGACGTCAGACTGGGGTCCAATATTTGTGGCAGTGGTACTGTTCGTTCTATTATCACCGGGGCTGCTATTTCAAATTCCCGGCCACCACAGGTGCGTGGAATTCGCCAATCTTCAGACCAGTGGCGCTGCCATAATGGTGCATTCCCTGCTCTACTTTGCTCTCATTTCTGTCTTCTTACTGGCCATCAAGCTCCATTTGTACCTGGGGTAGAGTCTCAGAGACGACTGTGGAGGCACGAATTTCTTTCTTTTCTTTTCTTCCTTTTTTTTTTTAATTTAACCGCCAAAAAATTTTTTTTCCGTAAAATACAAATGTCAATAGTAATGTTATAGTAGTAGTACTTGTATCTGCTGTTTTAAATACTTGGCCTTGGACTTTTCGGTTTTCCTGCAATATGTCTAAGTTGAGAGTTGCGCCTTATCCATTCAACTACTTGCTCTGTTCAGTTCCTCTCAATTGAATTGCACTGTTCATTTTTTGTTGCTCTTTGCACGAACGATCGTGCTCCTGTCTTCCTTTCTAGGCGATTGCTTCATCAATTACACAAAAAAAGAAAACTGAAGCACTGAAGCGCAAAGGGGAGTAAACTGACCCACGTTTATGGCCGTTAAATTCAGAGATAAATGAGCAAGAAATGGGTTCCGACCAAAGCCTTAGCATTCATGAGGGTGCAGCAACCAAGCAAACGTTTCAGACACAGGAAGCGGCTCGAAAGCCCCACTAATTGTTAGTTAAGGGATATTACAGTAATTACACTAACACACGAGCATGTATAGGTTGTACTAAATGCAATTACGGTTGCACATTAAGTGCTCATTCCACCAATAGCCTGATGCCTCGTGAATGAAAACTTGAATTAAATGCACTAAAACGGGGTTAGGTCGGTAAATATACCCAAATACAGAACTACTGGGCCAATGGCTCAATGGCCACCAGGAAGGAACTTAAGTTCCTCCTTGGGCTGTTGGTGACAGTTTAAACCTTATTAGCAGCGAAAAAAATCCAAGGGTTGTGCTATAGCACTCCCTTGGTCTAGTTGGATTTATACACCCACTAAGCCACGGCTTCCTTAGGCTCCCCCTCTCCCTAGATTAGGATAGAATAGGTTATACAAATGTATCGTTGCTAACCAAAAAAAAAAGGTAAATATACCCAAATACAGGCTTCCTTAACTTGCATCCAAAGCATTTAAGTAATTTCACAAACTCACTGGCTTATGTGTGTTGTACCAAAAGCAACAAATGGTTGCAGATTAATTGCATATACCATAAATACCCAAATGTTTGAACAACATAAAGTTTTAAATGTCTATAAATAAGGGTATTTCGGATAATATACCTAATCACAAGCTTCCCTCACTTGTACCTATAGCTTGTAAAACACACCAGAATATTTCACATTTCCAAAAAATCCCTGCCTATGCGGTTGAAATGCAACCCTCTCTTTCACTAAAACTCAATCTTATATAGTATAAGTAATTCTTACTACTGTTTTGCACACCTAACCAACCGGCCACTAGGCCTTTAAAAACGACCAATCTAATCAACTAACGTAATATTGGAATCTACTATCACATACATATACAAACTCAATCACCAAATTAACTGTGAAACCAATTCCTATACCACTTATAACACTTAAGCCCAATTTAACTAAAACACCTAATTAACCAAGAACATAGTAATTATCTTGATTTAATATCGTCAACATTGTCCCTTTTAAAACAAACTCACCATCGTCGTGGCCAACGATTTGTATGTAAAACTCTGTTGCGACGTAGGTGACATGCAATTACAATTTGCAGTTGATCCTCAATTTTATCTTTGCATATGGAAGCAAATTAGCCTTGTACTATGCATACAATGTAGCTGTCAATTCTAGTTAATCAAGCCCACCATCAAAGCCAATATATTTTTTCAAAATAATAATCATCCACAAAATTTTCAGCAACCAAGGCAAACCTTCTTTTTGCCAATTATTTCCACCACAAAAGTTTCCAGCCTCACAATTTCTAATGAAAAGATTAATAAGAGAATCCACCCCGCAAGTAAAATAAAAAAATTTCTTTGTCTTGATCAAAATTTGTACCGTTAATAACAAATTCTTCTTCATGACTCATCCCAAAGAATGTATGCAAATCAAAATTTTTTTGTCAGGAAAATAGCCAATTTGGTCCCTTAACTTTTTCACTTAAACAAATTTCATCCTTCATGGTTTTTTTCACCAATTTAGTCCTCAAACAATTTTATGGGATTCAATGTACGACTTATTGGTGACGCCACCACATTTTATGTATTTTGCATGGCGGGTTAGGGGTATAATTGGAATGACTAGTTCGATTGTCTAATTATAGGGATTATAATAGAGACTTTTAGATGGGACAAAAACCTCTAAAAATTGAGAGAGAAGTAGGGTTTCATAAAGATGAAAATTTAAGAAAACTGTGATTGGGATTGATGAACAGATCCGTGTCTTCGACGATGGAATGCATTGATGGCAGATCTGGCAACAATGTCGAGTAAGCTTTTGTTAGATCTTACTTAGTTTAACATTTTCTGCTATATTGCTTTTTGTTTGTTTGTGGCAAGCATTTAGTTTAACCTTTTCATCAAATTGTGGGGCTGATGTGTTTGTACTTTATCCTTGGCTGTGGGGCTGATGTGGATAAACTTTCATCAGATCCAAATTAGTTCAACATTTTCTTCTCAACTTCTTCGATGGCAGTGTTTAGCATGTGGGCGATTAATTAGTGGAATAAATTGATTGTGGGGCTGATGTGATTAATCAGTCTCTACAATGACCATTAATTCTAGCCATTAGTTGTAGTAAAATATATAATACATCAAAATACACAAGCAATATGTCATGATTAATTGCAAAAATTTACCACGTAATTTATGCATCCATGAAATCTTCTACCTAGGTTCGCCAATGTCTGCAAAGTTACAATTCTACATTCTTCACGACAGTGACAAAGTACAACCTCATCCCTATTGTAGCATTCTACCCTTTCTCCCTTCACTCCTGTCAATTGCCCACTTACTCGACTATCCAGGTTTGAGTTGTCTGCTACATAAACTTGAGGCGGAGTCATCGAAGTTTCTCCTTAGCTGCATTTCACTTGCAAATATCCAAGTTCAGCGACTTGCCCTAATTTCTATGAGCTCTTCTCTCACAATTTTCAGAGGTTTCTTTCCTTCATCGCATTAAAGTTGCTGTTATAATCCCTATAATTAGACAATCGAACCAGTCATTCCAAATGTACCCCGAACCCGCCGTGCTAAATACATAAAATGTGGTGACGCTGCCCAATAAGTCCTACATTGAACCCAATAAAATTGTTTGAGGACTAAATTGGTGAAAAAAATAGTAAATGACAAAATTGGTTTAAGTGAAAATGTTCATGGACCAAATTGGTGATTTTCCCTTTTTAGTCATTTCACAAATTTTACAAATTTCTGTGTTGTCAATAAATAGATCCTCTTCTAAATTAATTTTTCATTCCAAACCAATTATTGACTTGTGATCAGATTCATATGCAAACTCGAGCTCATGGATAAAATCGGGCTAAACTGTATTTTTTTTTTCAAATCAAGCACCGAGGTATCCCAGAAATGGAACTTAACAAGGACCGAATTTGGAAAACTTGACGTCAATCACGAACTAAAATAGAATTATAACAAAGATAAAACATGGATAATACGTCCTCAATCACAAGCTACTTTCAAATATATATCATAAAGAGCTCAAGTGCATGATTGATGATTGCCATTAGCAAAGCACAAAGATAAGGACCGTGAGTTAGTTACAAGATTTTTTTTTTTTTTGAATCTTGTTATATTTGCTATTTAGAAATGTTCAAGAATATATTCACATATTCTGAAACTTCAGTATCCTTTCATTTTCTATATAGCACTTTCAAAACTCAAAAAACCATCTCTATTATACTACACAAGCAAACACAAATTAGTATTTCACCATTTAAAAAGTTTTCTGAATGAATCCCCGCGTGAAATTAAAGTCAAAGGTGACAGCCATAATGATAAGAATATCTATGAACATAACATATTCAAGTGCCTAATTAGGTAGACTTGCAACAAGTAGGAGAGGGACTTTCCTTGGTGTAACAATGCACTGAAAAATAGATCATTCTGAAAGGGAAAAAACAAACCTTGTCCTGAATTATTTTTCAAGTAACGTAGTGCACGTAAAGCAAACTCCAAGTGGGTTTCCAAGGTGCATGCATAAGCCTGCTTAATGCATCTACTGAATATGTGATATCGGATGAGTAATTGTCAAATATATCAGACGTCCAACAAGTCGTCTATCTTGAGATGGGTCCTTAAGTAAATTTCCTTCATCTGATAATTTAATATTTTGTTCTACAGGAGAATCCCCTGGTTTAGCTCCCAAATATACTCCATCCTTCAAAATGTCCAAAGCATACTTTCTTTGCAAAATAAAATTGTCCTTCTTTGATCGAGAGACCTCGATGCCCAGAAGTCTTTCAAATCACCCAAATTGATAGGGTGCATAATAGTGCCTGAATTTGTGGATATTTTCTTGTTATTTTAGTTAAATATTGTGTTAATTAATGGATTCTGCTTAAATTCTACATTTGGTGCTAATTATAGGAATTGGGAATGAAAAGGAGTTAAAGTGGTATTTTTTCAAAAGACTTCTACCCAATTAGTCATGGGTGCGCCAATTTGCGCAAGTTCAGAAAGTTCGCGATTGTCAGGCATGGATGTTTCTAATTCCAATTCGAATTCCTTACTGCAAATGAGAATCCTTTTCAATATGTGGACTTCCATCATGATTAGAAAACTATTATTCTTCTTTTATTCCTCTTTTTATTTTCTTTTCCTAGAGAAACTTGGATATGTTTTAGATAGTTATAAAATTAGGTAAAGACATTAGAGTAGGGTTCAAATTTTTCTCTTTTTTTTCTTTGACTGTACATCGACTTTTGCTTGGGTCATTTCTATGAAAAGCAACTAAATTCTTTTTTTAGTCAAGGGATAACTTGAAGATTTGGTTCTATAAGCATTTGTGAGATCGAATTAATTTTTATTGTTTCTTCTATTCATTAGTATTTGTGTGCTTTTTAGATTAATTTCTTATGATTGCTATGTTTAGCTGAATATCGAAGGCTCAATATTTGATTGAACTAGATAATCTACTACGAATTAAAATAGCAGAATTCATAATTATTTGGCTATTTTAATCCTTGTAGTGATTGGTATGATTGGATTTGTGTCAGAAAAACACACAATCTAATTTAAATAAACTATCGTAGTGTGTTTGTTGGTTAGAATTAAGCTTTTCTAATTTTTACTGGAATTGAGAGATTGAATCCTATGATCGTATCAAGGGATATCTCCTGATTAAGAAAATAGTAAATGGTCGTACCTTAACTATCGACAAATTAAAGTAACAAAGAGCTGAGTGTAAGAACTTGTTGATAGCTATAACTAATTTATCAATGAATAATTGAATTTACTATTGCACTAAGGATCAGTTGTGTGAACCGTCTCTAAAAGTTACTCCTTTGCTAGAGTTTTGCTATTTATTGATTTAATTTTAGCTTAATTTTGTTTAATTATCTTAGTGTGAATTAATTGTTTGTTTTAATTATTTAAATTCCCCCATTAAATCTTGCTCTAAAAAGAACAAATTTTCCCCAATCTCCGTGGAGATGATCCTTCTCTCTGCTATTCTCAAATTTATATTCTCTTGAGCACGTAATTTATTACTAAACAAATTCGGCACCCGTCACAAATCCTTGACTCGGAAATGATTGTGTAGAAAATGTTTAATATCAGAGATAGCTGTGGAATTATTTCCTACTATAAGAATATCATTAATATAAATTAATAGAGTTGTGAATGACGTGCCTTTCTGACATATAAATAAAGAATAATGTGCCTTGGATTATACAAAACCCATAGATTGGATAGCTATTGATCGAGAATTTGGCAAACCATTGGTGAGAAACTTGTTTCAAACCATGCAATGACTTGTTGAGACGACATACAAGATTCTCCATGAAAATCGCCATAAAGAGAAGCGTTGTAAACATCAAGCTGGTGAAGAGACCAATTTCGAGCAGTAGCTAAAGTCAATAAACAACGGACAGTAACCATTTTAGCAATGGGAGAAAAAGTGCCATGATAATCAACACCTTCCAGTTGAGTATATCCTTTGACAACAGGGCGAGTTTTATATCACTTAAGAGGACCATCGGTTTTGCGTTTTATTTTATAAACCCAATAGCATCCAATGGGTTGTTTGTCAGAAGGAAGAGGAGTGAGAATCCAAGATTATGGGCTTGCAAAATAGCCAATTTTGCTTGCATGGCATCTTGCCAGTGAGGTTGGGATGCTGCTCCATCATAAGAGACTCGTTCAAGATCTCAACTAACAGTGACAAGAAAAGACTTGTGCTATGGTGAGAAACAATGGTAAGAAAGAAAGTTGGAAAGAAGTAATGAGTACCTTTTTTAGAACAAGATGGCGTAGAAGATGTCCGCGGAAAAGCGTGTACTTGGTTGCAAATAGAATTAATCGCCAAGCGATCTCAGAAACAGGACGTAACAAGGATAGAATTCGGAAAATATGGCCACAATCACCAGAAAAAAAATGCCGAACATCTAAATAAAAAGAACTTTCAAGGATAAATATGGCTCAATTACAAGCTGATTATCGGTAAAATATATACACGGTATATTTATTCGGATTGTGCAAAACATCTAAATATTGTGGTATGTAATTGTACGCTTCATAAACTAATAATTCATGTACCTTGCATGTCAATACCTTTCTAAAAGTAACATTTTTTACGCACTAAAATTCTTTGGAAAGTTTTCGTTGTCAATTTTTTTTTTATAAACTAATAATTCACGTAGTTTGGTATTTTTTGCATACTATCACATGACTACCTAAAGTTCCAAAATACTCACATAAATTCTTATAATTTTATATAAAGTTAAAAATAAATGTAAAACATCTCTGGTTACCACGATTGACTGAGACACATTCTAAAAGTGCGTGTAATGAAATAATAATATCCACCTAACCTTCTAAAATTTTGTATAAATATCTACTCAAGCCCTATAATTTTGCATAAATATTCGCATAACTCCATATAACTATAATTTTGTATAAATATTCACTTAACTCCGTATAATTTTGCATCGATTCATGATTTTATGAAAATCTCTGGACCCATATTCAATTTAGTACTTAATTAAGCGTAATCTTAGTATTTCAACTAATGATATTATAGAGATCATTTTTCATTAAATTTTCAATTTATATAAAACAATAGAGGGGAGTTATGTAGATATTTTGAATCATAGGATAGTCATCCGGTGTCATATAAAAGTACAGTAGGTTATGAGTAATTTACCCAAGAAAAAATCATTTAGTCCGCCCTATAGACCATTATGATCCCAAACAAATCCAAAATCCCCGGAATGAGCTGGTGACCTTACACCATAACTGTGTCAAAATCACACATTTTACATACAAGGACACAATGCTACTGATAATGCAATATTTCACCATTTTAAAAGTTTTCCCCATCAAACTCCATCTCAAATTTAAAGTTGTGACAAGATAGAATAATATACACATATCTACCAACATGGTGTCTTGGATCTTGAAGTGCCTAATTAGGTAGACTTGCAACTAGCAGAAGTGGGACTTTCCTTGGTGTAACGATCCCATGTGCTTCAGTCATATCCAAATCTTCTGGTCTTGCTCCACCAGCCAATTGAAAATCAAAGTTGCACATCAAATTTGCAAGTGCAAGTTCAGCTGTAACCATAGCAAATGCAGAACCGGGGCAGCTCCTTCTCCCAGAACCAAATGGGATGTACTCAAAATTTTGCCCTTTAATGTCCAAAGAGCTATTCAAGAACCTCTCTGGCTGAAATTCCTCTGCAGCTTCCCACAATTTTGGGTCCCTTCCGATCGCCCAAGCATTGATAATCACTTGAGTGCCGGCAGCTACATCGTATCCCATCAATTTGACTGCCTTGCTTGATTCACGAGGAACAAGTAATGGAACTGGTGGATGCAAACGAAGAGCCTCTTTTATTACTGCTTTTAGGTAATGGAGATTCTCTAAATCATCTTCCTGGATGCATGATTTGCTTCCCAAGAATTGTCTCACTTCTTTTTGCAATTGTTGCATGGCATTTGTGTTTCTTAATAATTCTGAAATTGCCCACTCCAGCAGCGATGATGTAGTATCAGTTCCACCAACAAACATGTCCTGCAAAAACAAAAATAATGATAATAAAATCGGGACATAGAAAGTTCTATGTCAAATTTCCGATACAAGCTACATGAAAACTAATATTTTGATTCCTTGAAGAAAAATTTGGTGTTTGCATGATTGCAAACTCAAAATTGCTTGTTCTTTCAGTTATACGTCATAGGGACCTACCTCATAAAGACTATATTGCTATTCTACTTGTCTATGTTATTTTATGCTTTATAATAAGAATAGTTTGTACAGCTAAAACTTTTGACTTGTACTCAATTATTGTACAAAATATTCAAAAGGATTAGATACCTACTTAGAAGACAAAGAAATTAATGGACGAACTAACTCAACCATGGACCTTTATATAAAGTCGTTAATTTTTTGCTTTTCACTCTATTCTTAACTCATTGCTTGTATCATTCGATAGGGACCAAAACCACACAACCAAGATAAAAGAGTGCATCAACTGGCTCACATAGTATCTCAAAATTGTAGTAAATGGTTAGGGTTGTTTCAAAGTGTTTGCAAATATGGTGAAAGCCAGTTAACTTATGTTTGAATAGAAAAAATATTCCAGCATCATCCCATTATGAGGAGACATAGAAATATCCAGGATGGTGTCACGATCTAATCAGCGGACAACAAAATGTTTGTACTACTTCAACAAATCTGCACGTGAGATAAGGCGATGCTATACTTCTTTATCTGAATTTGTTATTTTTCCTAGGTGATTTGTGTGAGTTTTCGAAAATCAATTCTTAGAAAACCAAAGCTCAAATCCAATGCCCATCAGATTTGCATTTTATACAAAAAAAAAAAAAAAAAAAAACTTATGCAATTCACCATTGACAGACCAAACACTGACAAACTTACGTATTAACAAAAGAACTATAAAACTGTAACGGGGAAGATAATCAGAAGAAAGTTAATTTTCTTTACCATGATGATGGCTTTGAGGGAATCTCGCTCAAGAGCGAAACTGGTGGCATCAGTTCCCTGGATTTCAAGCAAAACATCAACAAGATTCTCCTGCTGTTTCTCATCACCACCATTATTGTTTCCTCTTTTGTCCTGCTTCTTCACTCCCTCCTCAAGAAGTTTTTCCAAATATTCATCGAAATCTTTGGCCACTTTTTTCACCTTTGCTTCCAAGCCATTGATATTATTTATCCATGCAAGCCATGGGATGTAATCTCCAACGTTGAAAACACCCAACAACATGGTAAATTCCACAAAGAGTTCCTGAAACCTGCTCCCACTTTCCTCTCCCGAATACCTTTTCCCAATGGCAACTCTCGAAACTATATTGTTCGTAAGTGTTGCCAAAATTTTGTTTATATGTATTACTGAAGACGAAGCACAAGATTCTCTAATTGTTTCCAACATTAGTGCAATCTCTTCTTCCCTTATGCTTCGAAATGACTGAACCCTCTTGTGACTTAGAAGCTGCAGTACACAAATGCTTCTTATCTGCCTCCAATACTCACCATAGGGAGCAAACGTTATGTCCTTGAAATTGTAGAGAAGCCTTCCAGCAAAGCCTGCTTTAGGCCTATTGGCAAATATTAAATCATGTGTTTTCATGACTTCTTCAGCTGCATCAGGGGAGGAGATAATTAACACTGGCTTACTGCCTAGATGAAGCAGCATTGGGGAACCGTATTTTTGAGCTAATGATTTCAGAGAGCGTTGAGGGATTGAACCGAGTTGATGAAGGTTTCCGATTATGGGAAGCTTTGGAGGGGAAGGGGGAAGGTTTTGTGAGGGGTTTGAAGTGGAATTTCGCCATTTGACAACAAAGATAGTGAAGAGGAAACAAAGAAGTAATGAGATAGAATGTTTCAAGATGAAGGCAATTATTTGCTCAATTGGAAGTATATACATCTTTGCTTTTCCCTTCAGAAATATCAATTGGTTTGCTATTGCTTCTTCTGAGTTCCCTACTACACTTATTAGCTTCCTCCAAGTGCCACCTTTTGTAGATAAATTGAAATGCAACTTCCAGAGGGGGGAAAAATGAGTGCAAGCCTCTTTACCTAATAGGGACATTAATCAGGTAACTAGAGATAGATTTTAAGGTGGACTCTTAGGCCCTCCTCTTTTCCATTTTGAAAGTGGTAGGAGTTTTTAATTGAAAGTGAAAGTTGATACTAGTTTATTTGTGATTCTAAATAGGAACAACAATCATGAATAATTAATGTATTAAATTGAATAAATAAGGTTTAGGCAACAGAATGTCATAAACAATCATCATTTCACGCATTGGATAGATAATAAAAGAAAAAAAAAAGAACATAAAAAAATCACAACAAATACATTTATAAATAATTATGTATCTTTTAACACTCAGGGACCGGAGGTAAAATTGAAGAGAATGATTCAAAACATGATCCTTTGAGTCCTTTCCTTAGGTTTGACAATTATGAAGTCCTTTACAATGTAATAGAACCAAAAAGTCACCCAATTTGTAACTAAAAGACGAGAATGAGAAAGGGGAAAAAATAGAAAAAAAGCTGCTAAATTTAAAATTCTGAAGTTTATTTGTCTTATTTCTTGACTTTACTCGATGTCCCTTTCCTAAAATCTCCGAACGCAAGCAAGATTGCTTGCACAGGAAAGTGAAAACAAGGACTTTAGTATTTTTCTTTTCCCTACTCTCTTGGATTATTTTCTCCCTTAAGCTCTTGCAACACTAGAATATTTTGCAAAACATTTTCAGTGTAAGAAGGAACGGGTTCTGAATGGATCTTTAAGGTTCATACTCTTTGTTTTCTGCTTTTTGCAGTAAATTGTGCATCTTTTTGCTTACCTTTCACAGTAAATTACGAGCTTTGCACTTCCAAAAGAAAGAAAATTTCCATTTCGCCGTGCCAAAATGGAGTCATGAAGAAGAAGAAGAAGAAAAGCTTGTTTTTCAAGCTGGAAAAGGGGTCCGCAAGAAAAATTTAAATTTTTTGGACGGCTAAAACAGTAATAGATACAAGCCACACCAGGAAATCAGTTAGGTGAGATCTATGCAGGATTAGTTGGGACAAACAAAAGGATCAGATAATTAATGTACTTAATGTTGCAATCATACAAAGGGATAATAGCAAAGATAATGGTATCATTAATTGGTGATCCATCACATCTTTCTAGAGTAAAATATACATCGCATTTTTCAAACAAATATAAAATAAAGATACATGCCAAAACTCTTCACTAATGTGCTTTGATTTAATGTGATAACACCTTAATTAACTAAGTCTAGGTTTTACTAATAACGTTTGGAAAATATTCAATATCTAGTGACTTGTCTAGTGAGTCATGCTACGCATGGCTGGTGTGCAGGAAAAGCTACACTACAATTTATTGTAAGCATTTAGCCTTCATTCATAAAAAAATCATTAACATTAATCCAACCAAATGGCTTGACCTTGCCAAAGCCTGGTTCATTTAACTCAATTGATACCCTTACCCAAAATGTAATGCAAGGTAGGTCTATTTGTCCACTTAAATTATTGGTGAAATATTTTTGAAGAAAAATATATTACACTTTCTCATTTCCATCGTCTTGACCTTTTTGGCCTCAAGCTTTCTTTCTTTTTTTTTTTTCTTTTTTAGTTTAAGTGAGAGGATTTAAATTCAAGATCTCTAACTTACACTCCCTTTCCCATGCTACTTAATCCATCTCTCCCCTTTCTGGCTTCAAGCTTGGCACGTATTTATTCAGTAGTCGACACCTTAGCTTCCTCTCTCTTAATCTCCTATTCTCTATTCTTCTTTACTTGCAACAGCAAACTCCCTCTGTATTTTAAGCTCCCTGGATTTGCCGAAAAAGGATAGAAACAGAGACTAGTCTAAATCTCATAGTGCAACCAATTACAAAATGTCTAGAGGCAAGAAATAATGAAAGTTTGGTCTTATCTAAACATTAGAAACATCATATGTATACAAGTATAGCTAAATCTGCATACAGTGCTGTGCAACCAAAGTTCTGTTTTGTTTGCAGTTAAATCACATGCTCGGAATACTACGTCACCACATGCTCGGTTTTGTATGGATATGGTCAAGGCTTGGATCCAAGAGCTGGCGGCTGGCCCATATCCCTTTTGGATCAAAATTCACTAGTCCAATATGATTAATCCAAATGACTCAGAAGCCAAGGGCCCAAGACCTTAAACCATTTTCTTTCCTTTCACAAACTCAACGCGGGACTACTACTCCTTATGAATAGTAGGTCGAGCCTCACATTCACCCATACTTAAGGACTTTGCATCCTTACAAAATCCATCACAATCCAAACTGTCAGTTTGGTTATACTCGAATTCCAGATGGAGCCTGTATGTGACACGTAGTTCCTTATACTCCCTTATGTAGTCAAAATCATAATTCAATGACTTAGACTCACCTCACACAGAAATCATGCAAGATTCACTCAAATACTTACTATCACAAATCAAGTCCAAGAGTTGACCCAAATAACTTTTAAATCAAAATTTACTAGTCCCAAATAGTTAACCCCAGTTACTTAGTAGCCAAGAGACCCAAGTTCATAAGCCATTTCCTTTCCTTTCATAAACTCGATGTAGGAGTAGGAATAGTAGTCTGGGACTCACATTTGACACCATTAAAATTGTCACACCCCAAGCCTGCATCTTACTCAGAATGGAACAGCCGCCGTATCTTCAAGAAGTAGCTCTTGAGGGTATAGGGTATCATTCACTATTACATCATATTTGCGGAAGCAATAAATAGTTAGTGCGGGACTTATGTCTAACACTACAACAAAAGATAATAAAATGACAAATTAACTTGTCTATTGAGCCATACATACTCATTATTACATGAATAATTCAAAAACAATATCTATTCAATCATTATTCGAGCTTTCCAATAGTAATCTAGCTCTACCAATTCCAATCACTATCCGCAATAAACTCGTAAAACGTACTCGCTCACTACATAAAAATGTTAAAGTGGTGGGGTAAGCATCACTATGTTCAGTGAGTAAAATATACCACCCTTGTTGGACCATGTATGTTACATATATATTCATATATTTGCAAATTGTTATACAAATAAGCACACAAAGTACACTAAGAGAAGCCAATCTTTGCACGTTGGTATAATATATAAACATTCATTAAATATTTATTGGCTCTTAACAGTTACATGTGTTCAACAACGCTTAGTAGTCAGGCTAGATTAATTTATTTTGATATGGTCTCCAACATTGGATTTGAAGTTTGGGGTACAATTGGTTGCGAATGGAATTTTGGTTTTGGCAAGATGAATTTCTTAAAGATCTTAGTAGTCATAAGGATGACTTTATTCTTTTAAGCCTAATTCATTCTATCCAAACCTAGAAAACTCTCCTGAGGATTTCCTTGATGGCTACAATGTGGCTCGTGTACAAGGATTTGTGTGGAACCAAACCTTGGCATCCTATACTGAAGATTATGCAAACATGGGCAATTGATTATAAGCTTGACCATTTCATGGGATCCATAGAATTTTGCTGAAGGGGTGAACAATTTTTCAGTGTTGCGTGGAATTTAACATACGGGTTGTGAGAAACAATTTTTATGACTCTGACATGGAATTACTTGAGTATATAAATAAGGTGATTGACAAAGTACTTTTTGTTTTGTTATCGTACAAAAATGGTAGTTTATGACTTTTGAGGAAAAATTTAGACTATTAGGTCTATATTGTTACATGAACAGTAAAAACCAGGGAGGTAGATGTAATTTACAAAACTTGAGGGGACTCAGTAATTGTCAAAAATCTCAGGTGGTGCACCGCCGTCTTATCCCAATAGCCACTCCGGCTACCGTCATTTGGTGGCAGAATTTCAACAAATTTTCAACCTAAATTGCACTTTTTCGTATAGATTGTTATAATACTGTCGATTTTGGCCAAAAGCAGGCGGAAAATGGTAAAAAAGACCCAACATTGAAATTGGCCAGCTTGGTCTATCTAAATCATTTTTAATCCTTATAAAATTCACATCAGGACAATCCTTAGAAGCCACAACACAATTATATAGTAACTACTAGGGAGGGACGGCCCGCGCGACGCGCGGGAATTTGGTACTTGTGATTTAAGATAATTAATAATTATTGTTTAATATTTTGTGGTATAGGACCTGAAGTACGATGATTTTATCATGTGATTTTAATAGAAAAATCATAAGTTACATAGTGAGTCAATAAAAATAATGTGCAATGAGACATCCTTATCGTTATACTATATAAGAATCCGTTGTGATCAAAGGTTATGTTTGAATTTCAACTGCAAAGATAAGGGTAGTTTGAAAATGTAAGAATGTTTGAAGTGTAATTGAAAAGTATCAAAAAGTCTCTCCTAAAACTTATCCAAGATGATAAAACATTTTAAAGTATCAATTGGACCCTTCATCTCTCGAATCTATATATGTTTGTGAAAAATCCCTCAAGCAATGCTTCTGATTTCTCCATCGACTTAAGCTCAACCTGAATTATCAAGTCAAGTTTATCCATCAATCACTTTGCGTCCAATCTAATCTAAAATAATTTTATTTTTGACTAACTATTTATATAATTTGGTGGGCATAATACGACTTAATCACATGTTTCTTATAGAGATAATAATGCCCAAAAATGATAGATAGATAAGAAACTTAAATGGTCTTTTTCAAAGTTTTGTAGAAACTATTCAGATTTGGTGTTTTTTGCTAGGGGCATTTCTTTATAATCTCATAAATAAGTTCAAATCTGCATAATTGTTAAAGATCTGAATTGAAACTATCTTGATTATAAAAAAATTGGTGCAAATAATATTTTCTAAATTTGAAATTGTAGAAAATGGTAACTAAAATCAGAAGAAATTTCTGATATGAATTCGAATTGCAAACTATAGGTAGGAACTGCTTAATGATATTTTCCAATGTTTACTTGTATAAGTATCTAATATAACATCTCTACTTAATTGACTCGTTTGAACTATGGATAATAGTTGCTTCAATTAAATCAAGAAACATATTTATCATTGTACAACATACAATTATGAGTAAATGAATTAATACAATGCAATCAAAATGGTGCTGTAGCTAAAGCATTTAAACTTATCAAGTTCCACTACAAATTCTTTTAGATAGCATAAAAAAGCAAATTTTTTGTATTTGAAACTATATAAACAGTATAATACAAGAACGATATCATAACATGGAAAGCAAATAGAGTGCAAATGACATCTTAGTACTATGTAGCATGATTAATTTTCTTTTTTAGTTTCAATGAAGTAAAAAATTCTAAGTTAATAAATTTTACAATCATAAAATTCTCAATTAAAATAAACACAAGCTGAATTCCAAATCATATTACATGAAAAATAACTACTTGAACCATAACTGTTGGAATGTAGTCAACAGATTCCTGGAGTCAAGAACAATAGGAGAAAGTTCATGAGAAATAAGGTTATTTAACTTAAATAAAGAGATAATACCTTGGCCGAGGAAGAGAAGATGATAAAATTGTTTTTCTAATTATTTTAGAAAGTGACAACATTATCTCAAATTGTACTTTGACCAGAGACAGAATCTCTGGGATCTACTAAAGAAAACAATACAATTAATCAGTTTTTGGAATTAGAAGTATCAAAAGGCAAACTATATGGAGTTCTTGAATAAACCAATCATCAGAAAAAAAAAAAAAAAAACTACAATCGAAGAAGACAAACCCAAAGAACTCACCTCAATTTAAAGGAAAAGCTATGCATTTCACCAAATATTTAATAGCCATAATAAAACCAAAGAGGTGAAACCGAAAAAGAAGAAAGGGTATCGGCTAAACATGGGGACATAAAAATGATAATGATTAAGTTAATTAATTGTAATTAAAATCCAATTATGTAAACATCCAATTAATTCCTTAACGGATGAGAAAGGTTTCAGGAAATTGGAAGGCTTGGATGTTAGTATAATAAATGATTAAAAGGACTTTTATGTAATTCTATCAAAACACAAGCTTTATTCAGTTGTACTTGATACTCAACTTGGCACCAAACATTGTAACATACCAAACATGCCCCTAATCTTAAATGTCTGAAAGGTTATATAAGTAATTATAGTGAAATTAAAGCTATAATGACTTGTACTCAATGTTCCAATTACTCTTCAAACACTCTCACATTCCCAAAATAGCCTCACCCCTACGGTTGAAATCTAATCCTAAACTCGTTCTTATCAATTTAAAGGAAAAGCTATGCATTTCACCAAATATTTAATAGCCATAATAAAACCAAAGAGGTGAAACCGAAAAAGAAGAAAGGGTATCGGCTAAACATGGGGACATAAAAATGATAATGATTGTTCAGATAATAATTAAGTTAATTAATTGTAATTAAAATCCAATTATGTAAACATCCAATTAATTCCTTAACGGATGAGAAAGGTTTCAGGAAATTGGAAGGCTTGGATGTTAGTATAATAAATGATTAAAAGGACTTTTATGTAATTCTATCAAAACACAAGCTTTATTCAGTTGTACTTGATACTCAACTTGGCACCAAACATTGTAACATACCAAACATGCCCCTAATCTTAAATGTCTGAAAGGTTATATAAGTAATTATAGTGAAATTAAAGCTATAATGACTTGTACTCAATGTTCCAATTACTCTTCAAACACTCTCACATTCCCAAAATAGCCTCACCCCTGCGGTTGAAATCTAATCCTAAACTCGTTCTTATATAGTATAAGGATTTAACATGATAAAACAAGGATAACCACGAGTTTGAGGCAAAACCAAGATTCAGTTCTTTTGAACCTCAAACCTCAAAACCAAGATTCACTTCTTTTGAACCTCAAACGCCTCAAGTTCTAAAGCAAACAAGAAAAAAAAAATTCATCTTAAGGTGTGCATGGACGAGATTAATTTTCTCTTTCGAAGACCGGACTAGATCAATGTTTAATTAGCAAAAACAAAATAATAACCAAAAATCACATCTGATTTCAAATTCCTTCTTTTTTTTTTTTACTAGAGCTTTTTAACTTTCTTTTTTTGGATATGACGACGACGACGACGATGACGACGAGGTGGTGAAATTGGAGAGCGAAGATGAAAGTTTCAGTGGTAACATCGCAAATGTGGGTTATTTGGGCACGAAAACTGTCTCGTTCAGTGAAGGAAAGAAAGAAATTTTTAGAATTTCAATTCTGCCCCTAAACTAGTGTTTTTCTTCAAGAAATAAAAAAGGAAAACAAACTTTTTAAAATTATAATTAAGCCCCTCAATTGATCCCTGTTGTTTAGAAAATTGGGATAGTTTGGGAATTTCAAACTTCTTTGTTCCATATCAGTTTAAATCACAGGGAGTTTCATGGACATGTTTGAAAGACAAGGAGGTTCCATGAATTCCAGTTTACTTATTTTATCCTCTAATTTATCAATGAGAGGCTTGAGTGAATTTGAAAACTTCATGTTATATAACATACTTGAGATGCAAGCATGGAGGAGCACAATGCACAACCACTATCTCTAATTATAGGTGATAGGCATTGTTATATTCGTAGAATTGGACGCATTCCACGTTTGGTTTTCTAAATTCACTTCAATTCTTCTCCTAATTACATAACCCTTGAAATGTTTGGATCCGTATTCTTTGCAATCACTCCTTAGGAGCAAAATGGCAAACGCGTTCACTAAACTATCAAAGATTTTTTTTTTTTTGATTACTAAAATTTGTTTTAGCCAAGTTGGTCAATCAAATAATGAAAAGTACATTAATTTTTTATCAGAAACAAAAATATATAGGTTCAAAGATGTATTTTTACATTAGTTGAGCGATCAATTTGATGAAAGAAAAAGTTTAATACCAGAAATAAGAATTCTTAATTAGTTCCATGACCACTTATACCATTTATTCTATTCTTAATCCGTTAATATTTTTAATTAGACATTAGTATATATAGGCACCTCATCCACACATAATAATAATTACAATTCTTGATGAAATCATGTTGCCCAAAACCAACTATAAATATGAATCAAAAGAAGTAAGTGTACAAATATAAAATTGTAATCATTGTACATATCAAACTGCTGTGATAGATAGATAGACGTGTAAACGAATTTAATTAAATTGAAGGGAAAATTGTTCAAAACGTCCCTCACATTTTACAAAATGACTTTTTTCATCCCTCACTTTTAAAAGTATAATTTTACGTCCCTTACAAATTCACATTGACCAAATTTGGTCCCTACTTAGGTTTCCGACTAGTTTTTTGTCGGAATCCATCACGTGACTTGCATGTGATCATTTTTTAAGGACAAAATTGTCAAACCAAAATTTTATATAATTTGATTCATAGTCCCTCACATTTCACAAAATGAATTTTTTCGTTCCTAACATTTTACAAAATGAATTGTTTCGTCCCTCACATTTCAAAAAATGAATTTTTCTATCCCTCACATTTTTCAAAATGAATTTTTTCATCCTTCATTGATCATGTGTATGAATAGTTTTTTTTCTATTAACCCATGTAAATGTCTATTTGATTTTAGCTGAACAGTACGAATAACATGTAATTTATCTCTATTGGATTTCATCTAAACATGCTAATCGTAGTTATACACATGCTATTCAATAGATATATATAGGGGTTTTAAGGTAATAATTTTGTTTGAACCCCATGTATATATTTATATGATTTCACCATTTGAACCTATTCAATATTTGTGACCTTTCTCTTTTGGTAATAATGTATTTATTGAGTTGTATAATAAGATCATCTAATTAATGGGTCCTAACTTGAATTCTATAATTGTACTAACAAATTTCAGTTTAAATCTGAATTTCTACTCGACACTTTTAAGACCAACAGTTGAATTACTTGCCTTGTAATTGTCTTAAAATTTGAAAGTGCCAATCACTTATTTCCTTTTGTCATACTTTTCTTTTGTTTATTTTTTCTGTCCAAATTTAATTCGATATAAACACTCGATAATATTTAAGATTAAATGTCTTCTTTATTTTCAAATTTTGAGTAAAAGAAAATGAATATAAGTGAAAAATTAACAATTTTTTTAAACCCATGTATATATCTATTTGATTTCACTTGAACAGTACGAATAGTATGTAATATATCTCTATTTGATTTCATATGCTATTCGTACTGTTCAGGTGAAATCAAATAGATATATATATGGATTTAAAAAAAATTATGCACACACATGATCAATAAAAGATGAAAAAATTCATTTTGAAAAATGTGAAGGATGAAAAAATTCATTTTGTGAACTGTAAGGGACAAAAAAATTTATTTTATGAAATGTGGGGGATTATAAATCGAATTATATTGAATTTGATTTGACAATTTTGCCCTTAAAATATGATCACGTGCAAGGCACATGGTGAATTCCGACCAAAAACTAGTCGGAAACCTAAGTAAGGACCAAATTTGATCAATGCAAATTTGTAAGGGACGTAAAATTATATTTTTAAAAGTGAGGGACGAAAAAAGTTATTTTATAAAATATGAGGGACGTTTTGAACGATTTTTTCTAAATTAAATACTCTAATTATAAAGTTCGTGTGTTAGCTTGTACTGGCGTTCAAACTCAACCTGTTGATCTACCGAATCGATTTCATACCACACTTTTTATCAAATTGTGATCAAGTAATTTGAATATTATGCATACATTTCATGCTATAACTAAAACCACATTTTAATGAATATTAATTGTTCGCCCTATTAACGTAAGACTGATAATATTTGTAATTACTACTTTGTCCCCTTAGACAGAGCACTTGGACAGAGGCGCCAACCCAGGCCCCCTTTGCGTTTCTGCTTTCGAAAGCCTTTTTGGATTCAGATTCCTTGCCTCGTATCCGCATTTATTGCCCAAATCGTTTTTCGAATTTTCAAGGAAAGGGAAAAGGTTGAAGGCATTGGAAGCATAAGCAATGGGATCATCAATGGAGACTGAGCTCAAAGAGATTTTAAACGAACTTAATTCTCTGCAAAATTCATTGCCAGATCCCTCTCATCAATCCCAAATCCATCAAGTAAGCCTCCCTATTATTGGGCTTTTCAGCTATTTAATTTTGATTCCATTCTTCTGTTCGAATTTTAATACAGTTGCTGTATATATTGTAATTAGCTCCGAAAGATCAAAGCTTGCATGACATATGAAATTAAAAGGGAATTTTAGAAATTCTTGAATTTCAAGTTATGTTAACTTTAAATGCCAATTTGAGGTTACATCAGGAGGAATTCAGTATGTTGAATCTCATATAAACTGTGGGTTTTGCTGGTTTTCTTTTGTTATTTTGTTTCTTTTTATGGGGGACAGGTTTTGATTAATGTAGAACTGGAGCTTGAATAAAGGGGAATAATCCCCAAGTACGTTGACTATACTATTGCAAAGAATCGTTATGTGCAAACATCTTGATGCAAAGAACAGCTGCTAGAGCAGGCCTGCAAAGACTTAAAAGTCAGCTGCTTTTTGGGTTTTGTCCAAATGGCTTATCGGTTCTAGTTATAAAGTTTAATGTTTTCTGCTAATGCCATATAAATTCGTTGTTTTTCTGGGTTTTGAATTTTGACCAAGTTCCATATTAGTTCTGATTAAAAAGTTGAATTTTTCTAATACAAATAATGGGTTTTGCTTGGTTTTGGATTTTTGTTTTTTTTTTTTTGAAAAAGTTTCAATCTTTTTCACTGCAATGTGTGCATATAAGGAAATGTGGTTTAATGGCTTAGTGTTTGTGCTTTTAGTTACAATGTCGAATTGAAAGGCTCTCCAATCTTGCTAAGTCAGGAGGCATGCACCGCTCGAAAGTTAAGGTAACTGTGTTCAGCTGCTCCTATGGTTGTATCATACCATTTCAGCTGCTTTACTATATTGCATCCCACAATCTTATACTTATTCTATTTTAGGATATGAGTGCTGAAGTTGTTGATAGCAATCCCTACAGTAGGCTTATGGCGCTTCAGAGAATGGGCATTGTGCAAAACTATGAAAGAATAAGGCAATTTTCAATTGCCATTGTTGTAAGTATCTTAGCATATCCCGTTATCCTTATTTGTTATGTTTCCAATGCCTGTTTCTCATTTCACATGATTGTCTTAATATGCTGCTCTTTCTCAAGATTTCTGCATGAACATTGTTCTAGTTCATAAATACATATGCTTAGGTTTGGAAGTTACACAAGATTAGAAAGGCATCTTTATTATTCTTTACTTGTTGATGTGAAGATTTATTCATATCATTTGCTTTTTCAAATTATTAAAACAACTCCTGAACCTGATATTGTTTTAAATATGGACTTGTTTATCAGTCTACTATATATCATATCCAATTTCTAGTAAATAGTTTTTATCCACTTGATAAGTTTATTTGAAACTCCACTGGGAGCTCAATGTTGTGCTTTGATTTTGGAGAGGATAGATGAGTTGGATCTTTCAATCACACTATATTTCTGCCTCCAAAAATAAGCTTTGCCTCTCTTCATTCTCTGATTTTATGTACAGGGTATAGGTGGTGTGGGCAGTGTTGCCGCTGAAATGTTGACAAGGTGTGGCGTTGGTCGTCTATTGTTGTATGATTATGACAAAGTAGAGTTAGCTAACATGAATAGGCTTTTCTTCCGTCCAGAGCAGGTTTGTTCTTGAAGCATTTTCAGATTCTGTTTCCTCTCGTTGGATAGTATGATGTAGATACTAAATCAGTACATTTTATTTGATTTTTTAAATTTATTTTCTTCCTTTTTTCCTCGAAAAGAAAGCTGAGGTGTTTTAATTTGGGCATGTATGGTTGTTTCTCCCAAGTTTTCAACAATATTCACGGAATCATAATGCTGCTATCTTTAAATATGAAATTATAATCTATAGTTACTTGTCTAACTGTCAATTTTTTTTCCTTCTTCTTCTTTGTCTTAGGTTGGCATGACGAAAACAGAAGCTGCTGTTGAAACTCTTTCTGACATTAATCCAGATGTTGTCTTTGAGGTGATGTTTTCAAGTGATATTCCTGCTTCTGATTCCTTTGCCTTTTATACTCCTAACCCTTCAATGTTTGCCCTTGTTTATGCCAAATTTGCTGCATGGAAGTCAGTTACATCTCCACTGATAAATTCTGCTTCTTGTTTATACCATTTGACTATTCTTGTTATCCTGTTTCGTTCATTAGTGGTATTATCCACATTACTAAAATTTGTGTTAGCACCTTTGCACCTTGTATACCCCAGCTCCCAAACAAAGAAACATAAATCAAAAAGTGAATGTGCTAGTAGTTTTGCTCTAGAATATTCTGATTTTTATCACTTTTATTGTCTGCTTTCACTGTATGTTGTTATTCTTAATTTGAGCATGAAGTTTGCTTCCTGTTAGCAGAAAAACACTATATAGCTATTACATTATCATTTAGATAATGATACTATTTAGGTTTTGAATGTTGCAGAGCTATACACTGAATATTACAACTGTTCAAGGTTTTGAAACTTTTATGTCAAGTCTCAAAAATAAGTCGTTTGGCCCACATACAGAAGGTAGCGGAGTGGATCTTGTATTAAGCTGTGTGGATAATTATGAAGCAAGGATGGTAGTAAATCAGGTAACAGTTGATACTAGATGCATTTTCGGATTGGTTCTGATGCATTTGTTTTACTTCCACTAGTTCTATAGAAAATGTTGGAATCTCTTCCGTTTCCTTTTTTCTTTCTTTTTTTTTGTGACTCAATGTTACAATTTTGTCTTAACTAAAGTTGCACTTTTTTCCAGGCTTGCAATGAATTAAACCAAACATGGATGGAATCTGGTAAGGAAGATGATTCCTTTGTATCTTCTGTATGAAAACGTCAGTTTGTTTGGCATCATACAAAGTTTTGTTGCATCTTTGAGTATGGTTATTCATTTTCTGTAGGTTCATTGGTATATCAAACTCCAATGATGGACATGCTACATCGTAGCACATTTAATTTCTGTTGCTGAAATGCTTTGCAATATTTTTGTTTCTGTCCTCCTAATCTGGTTAAAAACCATGTGTAAAACATCTTTAAAATGCTAGGCTACAGACAAAGCATTAATAGGCTTGGTTATTATGTCTCTATATCTCATTAAATTTGTATTTAGCATATTGTCCTTTTCGAATCCATCTTATTTGCCGTCTATATGACACACAATACTTGAATGCTATGCCTCTATATGTAACTAGTTGTTGAGCTTAGGATATCAAGACACAAGTCAATATTTTGATTCTGCCTCAGGGCTGTTGTATTCTCATCTCTGATTCTGTCTCATAGTTGATGGGATGCTTCAAATGAAAATTTTTATTTGAGCTGGAAATTTTGCGGAGGACTCACAAGAGAGATTGTTTGGGCAGGTGTATCTGAAAATGCGGTTTCAGGTCACATACAATTGCTGGTTCCCGGAGAAACTGCGTGCTTTGCATGTGCACCTCCCTTGGTAACTTCAGTGATCTGGGTGGATTTGAAATATTTGGTGCCAAAACTTTCATAGTTGGATTCTTGTTTGATTCATTTCCATTTTCTCATGAAAACTGTATTTAGTTGACATATATTGTAGCATTTATGTATTACTGATAAATTTTTTATTCTGAAACTTATCTTGCATTTGCAATCAATTGGCCTTATGTTGGTCCTTTGCATCTTTGCTTGCTATGCTCTTTTTTTTTTTTTTTTTTTTGGGAAGAGGGGGGGGGGGGGGAGGGAGATTATTTATCTTTCAAAGTTAAGAAAGTAATCTACAACTAAATTATCTGTCAGGTTGTTGCTTCTGGTGTTGATGAACGCACACTAAAGCGTGAAGGGGTTTGTGCTGCATCTCTACCAACTACCATGGTAATAACTTTTCAGTTTTCAGAAAATGTAGAGATGTTTCTATCTTTTTGTCATGGAGTTATTTGCTATATATAGCATAACTCAAGTTGTTTGACAACTTCCTTTGGCAAATAGTGAACCTTCATCATCCTCAGCATTAGATTCCTGAAAATAGAGTAATATCGTATACCAATGATTAACTAATAAATGATAGGAAATCTCAATCTTGGATTGAAATCTTTCCATGACATTCATGTTATTTTACATGCTTGTACCTGAGAGACCGTCTTGCAACCCTTTTTTAACCGGATGGGGTTTTCTTTACATAATGAGTTTTTGATTATTGATCACTCCTCTCTTTTTGCTAAAACTTTTACATAATGCTGCATTTCATTAATTTTTATTACATGGTTATAAGTCCAAATTTCTTGTGCATATTAAGTGTGAAGGCTTGAGCATTGCTGATTAGTTTTTGAATTTTGTGTTCTATGTTTTTGCTATTTTGCTTGACTTGACAGGGTGTTGTTGCTGGGCTTCTTGTTCAAAATGCTCTTAAATATTTGTTAAAGTTCGGGCAAGTTACCCCTTATCTGGTACAATTTAAATCCTCATTCTCCTCCGTAAGAAATATATTTGGAATTATGCATCAAATGTCACTGATTCTTGTTTTTGATATCAGGGTTACAATGCCCTCAAAGATTATTTCCCAACAATGGAAATGAAGCCAAACCCTCAATGTTCAAATTCAGCATGTTTGGAACGACAGGTAAATAAAGCACAATGGAGAATTTACAAGTTGTTTGCTTTTTTATTTTACATATTGGCTTCTATGTTGAGCAAGTGCTACATGTGCTGCAGAAAGAATACATTCTTGCAAAGCCTGCCAGGGATGCTTCTGCTAGAGCAAAGATGGAGGCCGAAGCACAGTCTGCAACAGAATGTCCCATTCATGCAGATAATGAATGGAACATAAGGTAAGCCTATAGAAGTTTTTCTTTGATTTTCTTAGTCTTGTAGTCCAAACATTTGACATTAAGATTTCCTTGTTTTGTTAGTGGATGATCTATTTGAGGAGTACATTTGTTTTCTCTAGTCTTTATTGTTGGCCTTGTGATTGATGCTGTATCATGTCCTTTTGTGCTTTTCAGTGTCGTTGATGACAGTGAAGTGGCTGGTCCAGATGTCAGAAGTTCAGGTTTTTCTTTTTTTCCAGAATAATCATGCTATCATTAATTTGATTTTAATTAGCCTGTGGCAACTATTACTTGATGTTAAAACTTTCTGTTGATTTTTCAAGATCTAACTTTAGAATGTAAAGCTGGTCAAAGAATGTTAATCATGGAACAAGAAGTTTTGTGATGTTGGTTTGAAGTCACATGCTTATAAGGGGTTCCCTCATATAAGATCCAAGAATGTGTTGGTTAGATGGTTTCAGTTTTCATAGAGAACTGTTTTAATAGTCTCAAAGGCAGATTATAAGATTCTGGAAATATTACTCCTTTTCTGTTTAATGTTTTGGGTCTCTTTTTGTTCTTTCCTTAAGATCAAGGAATCTATATTCTTGAACCATGGGTAAAATCAGCATTTTTTATCATACTACATAACCAATGCTTGCCCTTTTAGACCACCTATTTTTGGAGTTGAAAGGAAAGGATGGTGTTAATTGAGGCAGCAAAGGTGTCAATAATCACTTCTCATTTTTCACTTGAAAAGTTAAAGGTAAGGATGGAGATTGGACAAAACATATTGTGGCAGATTAACAGTTTAATGCTCTGCCAGAAATTTGGAGCCTATATCTTACCTTTGTTCATATTGTTTTTCTGTTCTCTCACTTGGAGAGAAGCAAAATACGAACCTGGAATTGGTGCTTTCCTAGTTCTGTTGTTCCCACTTTAGTCTCTACAACAAATCTGCAACTGAACTTTAGGTAGCAGTAAACTATTGATTTTTTTTTTTATTGTCATGTTTTGTCATCTTAGAAGTGTTTTTGCACTTAAAAAATGTCCTCCCAGTATCTCGAGCTTGTGCTAAGAAGATGAAGGGCTTGATATTAACTAATCCGATTTCTTTGGTTTATTTTTTTTTCTGCTATTATTGTTATTCAAAGGCCAGCAGAGGTTGACAAGATCCTAAATCTCTTTCTTTCAGGCATTCTTCCGGATGGCCTTACGCACGAGTTGCCAAGTGCAGATGGATTTTCAAATCTGCCTGTTTCTGGGGAGGGAAGCAACCTGCTGGACGACTTGGATGAACTAAGAAAGCAACTTGAGGCCCTTAATGCTGATAAGTCCTGACTTAGTACATGATAAATTTGTTCAGCTAGTATCTTAAGCTAGGAAAATCTCAGGTGAAGGCAGACACTAAGTGCTCAAAGGGTCATGAAGATAAAAAGTGATTAAACTGTACAATTGTTTTTGTTGCGATTTTAAATAGGCTTCTTTTCTTCAGTTCTTACACAACAGCTTTACCTGTATGGAACCTGCAGGTATAAGCTTGTTATTGGGAAGAGTAGTTTGTCAACAAAGATGGAATCTGTATTGTAGTTGCAGGGCAATTGCCTTTGTGTTTTGCCCTAAAGGAGGCTTGACAGTTTTGTGAGATCAATTTGGTGTACTATAACTTTGTTCTATAGGTAGATTTGTTTACGATCAATCAGTAATTAAGGCTTTAGAGGGGCATTTTAACTCTGAAAAACAGCAGCATAAAAAAAATATATATATTTTTAAAATTTTTGGAGCATACATTTGGCTCAAATTTTTTCAAGTAAACTGTGTTGTCAGGTATACAATGTACTCGTCTTGGCATTATTTCAATTGTGGTACTAATTAGAAAAATAGAACATTTCAATTGATTGCATCTCAATCATGTTGATAATTAAAATTGAAAACTCTTCATTTAAAACAATTTATCAACTCATGCATTCCATCTCCAATTATTATATGTCAACTTTCTTACTCAGAGCAATGATAAAAATTTTCACTAGCCACAATTTGAGACTGTAAAAATCAATATTTGAAAAATAAATGCTCCGGTGAAAATTGGAGAAATATATAACGAGAAAAAGAGTCCATAATTCATTTGTATATCTTGATACAAAGATCACGAGTCAATTGAACAATTATGTACTTTTTCTTTTTTAATACAAAATAAAATTAAAAAGAAAAACACCCAACTAAACAACTGAAAATGCAAATGGTTCAAATTCAATAAAATATTGCACCTCACTTTATCCAATTCAAATTCATTATTCAAAAAAAAAAAAAAAAACTGAAAAGTTGAACAACTAGCACGACTAGACCTGGCAATTATGCCCAAAATCCAACAACCCACCCAACCCACCCACTAATTTGAGAGGTTGGATTGGGTAAGTTGGGTATTGGATCAATTTTGGGTTGGGTAATAAAAATCCACATATATTTTGGGCGGTTTGGGTATTTGTATTGGGCATCCGTTACCCAACTTATGCTAATTGAATCAAGTGAATAATCAACACAATCTTAAAAGGGTGAATAGTTACTCAAAAGCATCAACTGTAGACTTTTTTTATTATTATTTTTTGCTATAAACATCTTTTGTGATTATAACATAATTCGCCAAGCAAGTTAAAATTTTTTTACTTGGCCTATTTTTAATTCCTTGGTTACATACTTAATAGGGTATTACCATAGATATGGAAAAGGCCAGATGTGTTAGAATAATTGCCAGATTCATCGTGACAATGTGAGTTCGAATGTGACTTTTTTTCATTTATATTATCGTCATCAAAATGTGTAGTGTGAAGAATTTGAACATTATTAAATTTGAAATTAATTTTGAGATGTTAATGTTAACTTACCACTACTCGTGCCCTCGGTGCTTAATAACTACCACATAACTCATTCATGCTAAAGATTTTTGTTTTTATAAACCGTATTCTCAATATGTAAAAACTACATAAATCCAAAATTACCATACTTTCTTTGTGAAAATATTAGCATAAAATCTTTTTTTGGGCGATTTGGGTATTTGTGTTGGGCATCCACTTAAAAATTTTTTTTTGTACGTGAAATTATATTTGAGAGAATTTATGTATCAAAATCTATTAATTAATATATTGGATTATATTTGGGTCATGGGTTTGAGATGACCCAATATGACCCAACCCAAAATTAACCCAATCTAAAGTTGGGCGGGTTGAGTGTAACCCATTTAAATGAAAACCCAATATTAATCCGTCCAAATCCACCCAACCCGTCCAATTGCCAGGTATAAGCACGACATAAAAGAGAGCACTTAAAATGTTTATACAACCAACAAACAATAAACAATTTAGTTTTAATGGAGACAACATTTCATCTCATCAAAATCGATGCAAACAACAAAAACTTTTCATGTAGTTCACTTATAAACACCAAGTTGATTCTGTTTTAACTACTTCATCTAAGACCACAAAACAAAAAGCACCAATAATAAAATTAAATGTCTCCATGTTAAACATGCAATTTTTACGATTAATAGGAAAAATGGAGTCCATGTTGTTTGCGCTTTATGTTGCATTGTTTTCAAACAAGATTATAAGAAAAATTAAAGATAAATGAAAATGAAAAAACCCACTACTTTGCAATGACATTTCAATTGATGATAATGAACTGTTACAAAGAAATAAGGGTAAAATACCAAAAATTTCCCTGTGGTTTGCCAAATGTATAATTTAACTTCCTCTGGTTTGGAAACTTACACTACAGCTTCCTGTGGTTTCAACTAAATTGAAAATTGGATAAAAAAATCCAATCTAATAGTTGTACGTAAAATGTCAATAATGGAAAACATCCAATGTGAAACTTGAATCCATTAAGTTATTGAATTATTAAATACTAAATCTGATACATTAAATAGATATTACATTAAGTAATAAGTGAATAGCTTGTTACTTTTTTGTTTTTTGGGAGTGAGTTTTGTTTGAAAAATTCAGTGTCAATTAATTTAGATGTTCTATTTTTTATTATTAAACGCGTCTGAATATATTAATATCTGAATAAATTAAATTTAAGTATTGAATTGAGTTATCAAACATGGCCGATATCAAATCCCTACTGAAAGCCCCTATTGTGGTTTGGATAATTTAGGGGGTTTGGATTTGAAATCCACCTACTAGTTGGAGGAATAATAATCATCTTTAATGCCTTTAGAACAAATAATGGAAGCCATATTCCAGTGGCAACATTGTCACAATTTGTTGAAAAAACTCACAACACTATTGATAGTTCAAAGTTCCTTCTATTTTGTTGTGAATGTGATTATTTGATAATCCTCATGTTCATATTCGTGAGAGATATAGATAGACAATTGGTGCTGGACAACATGAGGAATGCCATTGCCGGAGAAGACAGAGAGAGGATAAAAACAGTAATGTACAGCGAATAAGAGGCATGTGCAATAACTACACAATACAATACATAATCCAAATTGGACTAACTGAGCTGGAAGAGATATTTAAGCCATAATCTATATCATTTAGGAGTCTTCTATCAAGAAATATTGATGAATTAACGGTTGGTCTAATTGCCTTGTCGCTTGGGCACTTGGGTTGTCATCCGGTTGTAGATTTCGGCAAAACATATGGGTATGAGTTCAGAACTACTCTGAATTTAAATGCAGTCAAATAACACTTACAAGATACGTCTTCTACAGCAGAAAATTTTGAGCAAACGGCCAAAATAGTCCCTAAACTATTTATCAGAAGCTACAATAGTCTCTAAACTTTAATTGGGGCTAATTTAGTCCCTTAACTATACATGTTTAGTCAATTTAGTCCTTTTTGAGTTGAATCACGAATAATACAAAATTCTCTCGTAGACAGAGGAGGCACAAAAAAGAAGCTTATATTCCAGCATGCATTAAAATCATTAAAAAAAGTTTTAATGTGACAACATTTATTTTAAGAAATTTGGCAATGTTTACCCTGCAATATGAGCATTCCCAAACAGCAACCAAACAAACAATATCCCTAAATTGAAAAATTCAACAACAATCACTGCATCAGCCACCAAATTTAGTATATAATTCAGTTATCACTAAAGTAGTATATAATTTAGCAATGCATATAATTCCGGTTATCAGAATACAAGTCTATATGCCACCAAAACAAAGTCTACATTCGATATTAGTTAAAAGCCACCAAAAATATACATAATTGTAGTGAGTTATATAAGGTCACAAACATATGTCAAAGATTTATAATTTCCTTTAGACTTCAACTTCTTCAGCAACATCTATGGAAGCTGCATTAGAGTCCTTGCAATCACTCTCCAGTGGTATTTCAGGTTCATGAGCCTGCAAAAGATGCATATAAATGAGCACATGTAAATAAGAAATGAAGTAACATATTTTTTTAACATTAAACACATATAGTTTCCTTAGTCCTTTTTCCTTTGCCCTTTTGATAAGTGACTATTTTGTGCTATATTTGAATAACATTTTATGTTACTTTTAGTCACTTTTTTTTCAATATTTTATAATAAGAAGAAAATGATCTATTTTGGCTTGAATTAGTTCTAAATGCTACTTAGTGCTTAAATGAGATTTTTTTTATCCCTTTTATTCGTATGTTTTTGGTTGATTTTGTATGAGCTGGTAATTGATTTCAATTTGGACAAAAAAAATGGTTGCATTATGTTGATTAAAGTTCTAAAATTCACAAAGTTGACAAGTTTCAAGGGTATAAAGAAACTTGTCGAAAAAGAAAATTGGACCAAATCCATCCAAGAATTCATGCAGGGATTTTCGGAGGGATTCAAGGTAGATAGTTTTGGCAAAACAGAGACCAATCCCTCCAAGAGTTCGGCCACAATTTTGGAAGGATTGCTAGAGGGATTCAGGTCAATGTTGCGGCTACAACTTGCGCAACTTGATTTCAACTTCATTATTTCACACCTTTTGAGAGACATTTTATAGAAGATTTATAGCTATAAAATGGAGATTCTAGCAATAATTCTTGATATTATTTCTTCTATAATGATGTGTTTTAGCTTTGAAGCGCAAAATATTGACATATTGGAAGCTTTGTTCATATTGAAGATACAAGTGAAGGAACTTATAGATTTCTCTATAAATAGAACTTGTATCTTTCATTTTGGGGGAGTTTGGAGAGTACAAGAGCACACTACAAAAATGTAGCTCTTATATTTTCTTACTTTTAGGTTAGTATGGTATAGTTTAGGTAGTATTGTGCGTCATTAACTCTTGTACATTAGCTAGATTAGGATGAAGATGAAGATCAAGAAGGAGGGCATGAAACTTATGCCACAAGGGTTTTCTCTTCTCCAATTCTTTATCATTTGTATTGGATTCTTATGTTTGGTTAATAAATAAGTTTTGAATTTTATGTTTATTATGTCTTCTCAAGTTTATACTTTGGGTTTCGATTGAATTTTCTATAATTGTATTGTGTTAATTTTTTTGGTTATTTGATGCTATTATCTTGAGTAAATTATTTAGCACTTTTGTTCTTCTAATCATGATTTACTGGTCATTAATTATGATAATCTTAATATATTAGATTTGCAATGAAAATCGAAATTTATCACTGGTACAAAGAAATACTATACCTAGGGAGTACATTCACTAGAGTAGATGTGCACTTTTATGGTTTTAGTGATTTATTTCATACAATT